GGGGGGGACGAGAGAGAGTTTTGTGGCTTCTTTTGGTCTGTTGCATTGCTTTCTTTTTTTTTTTTTTTCTTCATCTCTGAGAATGGTACTAAAAGATACTAGGCTTTGGCCGCCGCCGTCGTCAGCATCACCCCCGGCATGATGGTACACGTCCACCTCTCCTACCGCAAAGACGCCGTGACCCCCGAACGCGCCGTCAGCGTCAACGACAACTTCGCCCACGTCCTCAATGTCTTGACTTTAAAACTCCGCGGCGTCGGCCGCATCGAGCCCATCGACAAGCTCCTAGTCAACAGCATCGACTGCGTCAGCCGCAACGACTACAACCGCATCGTCGAGTTCAGCGCCCCCATCCCGCAGCGCCTCGAAGACTGCATCCACGACCTGATCCTCGCCAACTGCTCCAACCCAGCCAACGCCACCCGCACTGCTATCACCGCCTGGGACGGTAGTTTTACGTATGCCGAGCTCGCCCAGCAAGCGTTTCGCTTAGCAGCCGCCATTGCCAGCGCCGCAGCCGTCCACCGCGGCCCGGGATCCCCCGAGCAACTGTTTGTCCCGTATTTCCTCACCAAATCCAAATGGACCCCCGTAGCCCTCCTCGCCATCTGGACAGCCGGCGGCGCGGTCGTGCCGCTCGAACCAACCCACCCCGCCGCGCGCCGCAACGATATCCTCTCGCAACTCCAGGCCCCCATCATCGTGACCAACACGGCGCTGCACAACAACCTGGCGCAGTCGCTGGACCCGCACAACGGGCCAGTGCGTCAGCTCCTCTGCGTCGATGGGGATTATGATGCTACTGTCACTGTGCCGCTGCCGTATGTCTCGCCCAGCGGTCTGTGCTATGTGATCTTCACGTCGGGCAGTACCGGCTCGCCGAAGGGGGTTAAATGGGAGCATGCGACGCTAGCCACCAGCACAGCCGAACACGGCCGGGAGTTCCATTTTGATACGACAACCCGTGTGCTGCAGTTTGCCTCGCATGTGTTTGATGTCTCCGTCGTGGAACTGGTGACCCCCCTCGTGCACGGCGGCTGTATCGTCATCCCGGCGGAGTCTGATCGACTTGAAGCGACAAAACTGACGGCGTTTATGGAACGGCATGGGGTGAATACTGCTTTGTTCGCGGCTAGTTTTGCCAGACTCCTAAACCCGGCTATGGTGCCTACTTTGCGCACGCTGATTTTGGGAGGTGAGGCTATCGGCCAGGAGAATCTCGACAAATGGACGCCTGCGCTAGAGCGGTTTATTATTGGGTATGGCTCAGCAGAAACATGCATCAACTGCTCCAAAAACGAATTCACCCTCGCTACGCGGGCCTCCCATCCCTGGAAGGAATCCCTCGGCCACGCCATCGGATCGCGGATGTTAATCGCCGACCGGCATGATCCCGACAAACTCGCGCCTATCGGAGCGGTGGGGGAGATTCTGGTGGAAGGGCCGATTTTGGCGCAGGGGTATTTGCATGACGAGGCGAAGACGAATAAGGTGTTTATTGAGAACCCGGCGTGGACGAGGAAGACGCATTTTTATCCTGCTGTGGCGCGGAGGAGGTTTTATCGCATGGGGGATTTGGGCCGGCAGGGGACGGACGGGGCGATTAGTTTTATGGGACGGGCGGATTTTCAGGTCAAGATTCGGGGCCAGAGGATGGAGTTGGATGAAGTGAGGTTTCATGTGGTCAAGGCCATGCCGAGCGCGGTGGATGTGCATGTGGATGTGATCTCGCCGGTTGGGGATAAGGTGTTGTGCGCGTTTTTGGCGTTTGGACGGCAGGGGGCTGGGGGGGAAGAGGTGGTGTTGCATGGGATTGATCAGGCGGAGGCGGATGCGTTGAAGAAGATGAAGGAGACGCTGAGGGGGAGTTTGCCGTCGGCGGCGGTGCCGACGTATTTTGTGCCGTTGGCGAGTTTTCCGTATTTGGTGTCGGGCAAGGTGAATCGGAGGAGTCTGTTGGAGTTTGCGAATAAGGCGACGATTAAGCAGTTGTCGTCGTATTCCAGCTTCAAGGTGGGCGTTATCCCAAGGGCTCAGCAGACTCAGGGGCAGTCTCAGGGGCTGCCGCAGAGACAGCCTACACACAGACAGACTCCGTCCGTCCAGCAGACACAGGCACAGATCCAGTCCCAGGCGCAGACCGTCCACACCAAACAACCGTCCATCCAACACCCCCAGCCAATCCAACTCCGCCAGAGCATCATCCCAGCCATCATCCCGGCCATGACAGCAGCAACAACAGCAGCCAGCGGCCCAACCGAAACTATTTTGCTTCAAGCCTGCCGCGAAGCCCTCAAGAACCCAGCCTTCGAAATGGACGACGCCTTTGTCGCCTCGGGGGGTGACTCCATCTCCGCAATCAAAATGGCCTCTGCCGCTCGCGCCCTGGGAGTCACCGTCACCGTGGCAGATATCATCAACGCCCCTACTCTGCGGGATCTCGCTTCCCTCGCTGTCGTCAGCCCCAACGCCCAAACCAACACCACCACCCAAGCAGATACTTCCCCAGAGATTCCAGCGCCATTGAGCCTATTACCCCCCGCCTACGCCCACGACATAACCTCCACAATCCAATCCCGCTCCCCCCCGCACGCCACAGTCCTCGACATCTATCCGGCCACACCCCTCCAAGAAGCCCTCCTCACGGCCTCCACCCTCCGTCCCGGCGCCTATGTAGCGCGGCATCACCATCCTCTGCCTTACACCATTGACCTGCCGCGTTTCCAAGCTGCGTGGACTGCTATCCTCCGAAAACACGATATTTTAAGGACTAGGATTTATGAGCATGCGAGAGGCGCGGTGCAGGTGGTGTTTGATGATGCGGCGGTTGTTTGGGGGACGGCGAGGGATGTACAAGAGTATATCCAGCGAGATAAACAGGTGAGCATGGGGTTTGGGGATGTGTTGGTGCGATTGGGGCTGGTCGGGGGGGTGTTCTTTTTGACGGTGCATCATGCGCTGTTTGATGGGTGGTCGGTGGTGAATGTGTTTCAGGATGTGGAGAGGGAGTATTTGGGGATGGGGGGGAAACAGAGTGTGCCGCATAGTGTTTATGTGCGGTATTTGGCGGAACAGCTTGATCATGAAGCTGCGGAGAAGTTCTGGGTTGAACAGTTCTCCGGGGAAAAGGGGGTTGTTACGCCCGCGAGTCAGTTCCCGCAGACGTTACCCGCGGGATACACCCCTGTGCCGGATTCCACGGCTACGCTGTCGGTGTCGATTCCCGTGACGGCGATGGTGCCGTCGGGGTTTACGCTGCCGACGAGGATTCGGGCGGCTTGGGCTTTGTTGGTGGGACGGTATCTTGACCAGCGGGTTGTCGTGTTTGGTGAGACTTTTTCGGGTCGGGCGTCGGCACTTCCGGGGATTGAGCAGGTGGCTGGTCCGACGATTGCTACGGCGCCGGTAAGGGTGGCTTGGACCGAGGACGAAACCGTCGGCGACCTCCTAAAAAGAGTTCAACAAGACGTCTTGGCGTGTGACGGTGCCGGACATGCCCAGGTCGGCATACAAGCTATTGCGAAGACGAGTCCCAGCGCGGCCGAAGCCTGTCAATTCCGCCATCTCATCGTCGTCCAGCCCCCGCGGGCTGTGTTGACACCTGATGGGGACGATGCTGGACGCGCCCAAATCGGTCTCGCCGACGCAATTTTGGACCTGGAAGGCTACCACAGCTACGCCCTGAACATGGACTTCGCCCTCGGTCTCGCCAATAGCGAAGTAACCGTCACAACCGCCTTCGACTCCTCGGTATTCTCCCCAGCCCAAATCGACGCTCTCCAAGCTCAGTTCGCACATGTCCTAACCCAACTCTGCCGTCTCCCGACATCTTCCCCCCTTTCGAGCGTGACATACGCTTCTCCCCACGACCACCAACTGCAAGTCTCCACCAACCTCGCCCAGCCAGCCTCTACTTTACCGACCCCGTCCACCGAAACGACCCTGTTGGCGTTACTCACCCAACACGTCATCGCCACGCCCACGGCACCGGCAGTCTACGCCTGGGACGGCTCACTATCCTACCGCGAACTCGACCGTGGCTCGTCGGCCCTAGCCCACCATCTCAGTGCCGTGCTAGGCGTGCGCAAAGGGGATTACGTCCCGTATTGTTTCAACAAATCCGTCTGGACCACCCTGTCCATCGTAGCCATTCTCAAAATGGGCGCTGTAGCCGTCGCCGTGGAACCGTCGCACCCCGACGTCAGCGTCGGCAAGGTCCTCGGACTAGTCAGGGCCGGTGTTGTCCTCTGCGCGCCGGGGTCTGTCTCGCGCATTCAGGGACTCGGGTATCGGCCTTTTGCGGTGGATGAGAATACCATCCGGACCATCTCGCAAAAGGCCAACGGCGGCAGTACCAAACGGAAGAAGTACGGCGTGCTCCCCTCTGACACCGCCTTCGTGGTCTTCACCTCCGGCTCAACCGGCGAACCCAAGGGAATCCCCCTCGACCACGGCGCAGTCTGTCTCATGGCCGAATGGCACGGTTCCGCCATGCGCATCACTTCCTCCAGCCGCATCTTGCAGTTCGCCGCCCACGTCTTTGATGTGTCGATTGGCGATTTGGCGATTGCGCTGTTTCATGGTGCCTGTCTGTGCGTTCCCTCGGAGCATGATCGGTTGAATAACCTCGCTGCGGGGATTGCTAAACTCCGCGCTAACCGCGCCTGGCTTACACCCACCGTGGCATCGCTCATTTCTCCGGCGGAGTGTCCGACCATGGAGTATCTGTCTGTTGGCGGTGAGCAGCTGACACAGACATGCAAAGATATCTGGGCTGGCGTGCCACTGGTGAATGTGTACGGCCCGGCAGAGGTCACCAACCTCGGGACAGCAGTCACCATCACCGACCACCCTCTCCCACTCACCAACCTCGGCGTCGGCAACGGCACCAGAGTCTGGGTCTGCGAACCCACCAACCCCTCTCTCCTCGCCCCCGCCGGCTGCATCGGCGAGTTAGTAATCGAAGGCCCCAACGTTACGCGAGGCTACCTCAACAACGACACGCTAACCGCCACCTCCTTCGTGACCATTCCCTCCTGGATCGACGGCGCTACGCCCGTGAGGGTGTATCGCACGGGCGATCTGGCACGGATTAATCCCGAGGATGGAACGGTGGATTTCCAGGGACGGAGGGATACGCAGGTGAAGTTGCGCGGACAGAGGCTGGAGATGACGGCTATTGAGACGGCGGTCAGGGCGGCGGTGGAAGAGCCGGTGGAGTTGGCTATGGATGTGTTGGTGAGAGAGGGGGGGAGAGATGCGTTTTTGTTGGCTTTCTTGTTTTTGCCGGGGAGAGTCAACGGTGCTGGTCCAGGAGGTGGCTCAGGGGCTGCGTCAGGGTTAGGGTCAGGGCTGTTTGCGAACATGGACATCTCCCCGTTGGCGACATCTATCAGGGAAAAGCTCAAGACTACCCTGCCCCCGCATATGATACCCACGCTGTTCATCCCGTTGACCAGCCTGCCGAAGTTGGTGTCGGGCAAAATCGACCGGAAAACCTTGCGTGCCGCTGCGCAGAACTTGACCGACGCGGAAATTGCGGTGTATCAAGCCACGGCTGGGAGTGCGCAGGGTCCGAAGGGGCCGAAGAAACAGCCGACTACCCAAGCGGAGAGGGATATGCAAGGTCTGTGGGCAACTGCCCTGCGGTTACCGGCGGCGGAGGTGGGGGTTGAGGATAACTTTGTTACTCTGGGCGGTGATTCCATCACTGCCATCCGTATCGTCGCTCAAGCACGCGCGCAGGGGATTACGATTTCCGTCGGGGGGATCTTTGCAGCTGGTACAATCGCCAAGCTGGTATCTTCCCAGCCCGGGTCTGGATCCCAATCCCAAATCCAAACCCAACCCGACGCAGCCCAGGGACAACGCACCAAACTCAACCACCCCCAACTCCCCGACATCGCCCGCCAATGCGCCATCTCCGAAACCGACATCCAAGACATCTACCCCACCACCGCCCTCCAAGACGGCCTGGTCATGTTGACCGAACAGACCCCGTCCGCCTACGTCGCACACCACGTTATGGACCTCCCGGCGTGGGTTGATCTCACACGGTTCAGACAGGCGTGGCAGAGTGTGGTAGATGGACATGCTATTCTGCGGACGAGGGTTGTCCCGTCGGGGTTGCAGGCTGTGTTGTGGCCTGGGCCGGTGCAGTGGGTTGAGGGGGGGTCGGATCTGAAGGGGTATATTGACAGCGTCCGGAGGGAAAAGATGGGTTTCGGCACGGCGTTGACGAGGGCTGGGTTACTGACAAACCCGCCGCGGTTTGTGTTGACGGCGCATCATGCAGTCTACGACGGGTGGTCTATGAACTTGTTGGCTGAGGCCTTGACAGCGGCATACGCCAACCCTAACCCTGGCTCTCCGACAAAGGAACAACTCCCTTTCAAATCTTTTATTGAGCATCTTCAAGAAACACCATCATCCGCCTCGGCATCCTACTGGAAATCCTACCTCTCCGGCGCCGATCCTGCCCCGTTTCCCCCTTCACAATCTGCTCCACCGTCCTCCCCGCGCGCAGATTCCATCTTGACAAAGGTTGTGGCTTTCCCCCGCGCCGCGAATTCGACCTCCACCTCATCCACCCTCCTTCGCGCCGCCTGGGCAGTCCTCATCTCAGCCTACGCCAGCTCCGCCCCAGACGTCATCTTCGGCGTGTCAGTCACCGGCCGCTCGGTTCCCGTCGAAGGTGTCCTGGGCATGGTCGGGCCTGCTTTAGCCACCGTCCCCGTGCGAGTGCGAGTCGATTTCGAAGATGCGAGTGCCACAGTCAAAGGACTGCTAGAGACGGTCCAGAGAGAAGGGTTCGACATGATGGAGTTTGAGCAGTTTGGGCTGCAGAATATTGCGGCGCTGGGGGGGGATGAGAAGAGGGCGTGTGAGTTGGGGAGTTTGGTTGTGATTCACCCTGAGGCTTCTCCTGCTACTCAAAAAGGGGGCCAGAAGAAGTTGAGTTGGCGGAATGAGAGGACGACCTCGGATTTCTTGACCAATCCTATTACGCTTGAGGCGACGCCCATGGGGGGACAGGTGGAACTCGTTGCGTCGTATGATTCGAGGATTCTGGACGAGGCGCAGATGGGGAGGATGTTGTCGTCTTTGGAGCATATCCTGCAGCAAATCTGCACCGGCGACGTCAACCCCTCTCTTCGCTTGTCCACCCTTGACACAACCTCCCCCGCGGACCGCTCCGAGTTGGCATCGATAACTCAGCAGTTACCCCCCCTCCTCCCCGACCGCGTCCACGACATGTTCGCCCGCCAAGCGGCCTCCACCCCCTCCGCCCTCGCCGTCTCCGCCTGGGACGGTCCCTGGACCTACGCCGAGCTCGACGAACTCTCCTCCAAACTCGCCCGGCACCTGCAAGGCCTCGGCGTCGGCCCGGAAACCTTCGTCCCCTTTGCCTTTGAAAAATCCAAATGGGTGCCTTTGACACAACTGGCTATTCTGAAGGCTGGCGGGGCATGTGTTCCGTTGGATCCGGCCCAGCCCATCGATCGGTTGCAGTCCATCCTGGGGACGTTGGATGCAAGGGTGGCTATCACCTCCTCCAAACACGCCGGCCTCCTAACAGCCTGCCCCCAAGTCCGACACATCGTAGCCGTCGACCAGCCCCTTCTCGACCGACTCCCCCGCTACGGCCCCCCAGCTATTCATCCTGGGACTACACCCAATACGGCGTGTTATGCGATTTTTACCTCCGGCAGCACCGGCACGCCCAAAGGCGTAGTCTGGGAACACGCGACCCTCTGCAGCAGCATGGCCGAACACGGCGCCGCATTCCACTATTCCCGGCCAGGCAACCGCGTGCTACAATTCTCCTCGCACACTTTTGACGTGTCGGTCTCTGAGTTACTCACAACCTTGATGTTTGGCGGGTGTGTCTGCATCCCTGACGACTTCACGCGTCTCAACGACATCACGGGGTTCATCAACCTGCAACGCGTCACCTGGGCGTTTTTCGCGCCGAGTTTTGCCCGCTTGCTCGATCCCGCTGCTATTCCGGGGTTGCAGACGGTAGTCCTGGGGGGTGAGGCGCCGGGGAAGGATAATATTGAACGCTGGACAGGCCGCGACGGATTAGAGTTGATTGTGACGTACGGCCCAGCGGAGAGCTGTATTTACTGTGCTAAGAACTCGGTGCAGTCCCCCGCGACGCAGATTGATGGGGGGATTGGGAGGTCGATTGGCGGACAGATGTGGGTTGCGGACTTGCAGAGGCCGACGCAGCTTGCTCCTATCGGGGCAACAGGAGAGATTGTGGTGGAGGGGGCGATTTTGGCGAGGGGGTATTTGGGTGATAAGGAGAAGACGGCTGCTTCGTTTCGGGCGATGCCGATTGATTGGGCCGGCGGGAGGAGTGAACGGGTGTATTATACGGGGGATTTGGGACGGGTGAATAGCGATGGGACGATTAGTTGTCTTGGACGGAGGGATGATCAGGTTAAGATTCGTGGGCAGAGAGTGGAACTCCCAGACATCGAATACCATCTCCGCAAAGACGATGCAGTCCGCCAAGCGCTGGTTCTCTACCCCCGTGCCGGGGTGTGTAAGGATCGGTTGGTGGGCGTGTTGGCGATGGAGGGACAAGACTCGAATCTGGCTGGGACTTCGGGAGCTCAGATTGCGTTGGCGGAGAAGGACCAGTGGGTTGGAGTTGGCGGTGTCAGGGAGAGACTGTCCGACAAGGTGCCAGTGTACATGGTGCCTGCGGTGTGGATTGTCCTCGATAAAATCCCGCTGATGCCGGCGTCGCAAAAGGTGAATAAGAAGATGGTGGCCGAGTGGGTCAAGGCCATGGAAAAGGGGGTGTATGAGACCATCGCCGGTTTGTCTGGCGGTCTCTCGGGTGATGCTGGGGCTTCTGGCGATGTTCAAGCGGTCAACACACCACTCGAGGAACAAGTCCGCGGGATCTGGGCTGCTGTTCTCAACGTTGGCCCGCACACCATTCACCCTGGGACCTCCTTCCTGCGACTGGGAGGAGATTCGATTTCCGCCATGCAGGTTGTCACGCGCTGTCGGGCTGAAGGAGTCCTCGTCACAGTGCAGGACCTGCTCAAGGCCAAGACGCTGGCTGAGTTCTGTCAGCGGGCGAGTAACTCGTCAGGGTCCGGTTCAGGGGCCGTGGTCGACGACAAGGAGGACGGGAATCCCTTCCCGCTGTCGCCTATCCAGCAGTGGTTCTTGACCCTGGCGCCGCAAGCCCCGGGGTACTTTAACCAGAGCCATCTGCTCAAGGTGACTTCTGCTGTGTCCGCTGCGCAGGTACAGGCTGCTCTGCAACAGATCGTCACCCGCCATGCCATGCTGCGCGCTCGCTTCTCCAAGTCTCCAAGTGGCTGGACACAGAGTATCACGGCAGACGCAGCCTCGTCGTTCACCGTCCGGGAATTCTCCGCTGTCTGGTCGATGCAAAACGTCCGCGACCACGCTGCACAAGCCCAGACCTCGCTCGATGTGTCTCGCGGCCCGGTGCTCGCAGCTGATTTGTATTCCATGGTCGACGGCAGCGTGGTGCTGTTTATTACCTGCCATCATTTGGTGATTGACCTCGTGTCGTGGCGAGTCGTCCTCGAGGAACTCGAAACCATCCTCAAGGGGGGTTCGTTAGCCTCTCACACCCCCCTTTCCTTCCGCACCTGGACCCGTCTTCTCGCAGAGCACTCCGCAGCTACACCATCCACCCTGCAAATCCGCCCAGCCGATTTCTCCTTCTGGGGCCTGGACGCGGCAGACAACACCCCCTCCCGTCTCGTCGAGCAAACCTTCACTCTCGACCGACAAACCACCGACCTCCTCATGGACCGCGCCAACACGGCTTTCTCGACCGAACCACTCGACCTGCTACTCACCGCCGTGGCCCACGCCTTCGCCCAAACCTTTGGAACCATCCGCCCCGCCCTACCAGCGTTCTTCAACGAAGGCCACGGGCGCGAACCCTGGCGGTCCGACATTGACATTTCCTCCACCGTCGGCTGGTTCACCTCCCTGGTTCCAGTCATCCTGTCAGGATCGCATAGTGATGTTCTCCGCTCCCTGCGCGAAGTCAAAGACTCCCGCCGTCAAGTCCCTGAAAAAGGCCTCCCTTGGTTTTCTGGGTTTGCCTCGTCGGCCACCACAGGCGTGGAAATCACCTTCAACTACTTCGGTCTCTTCCAAGCGTTTGAAAAAGCCGACGCTTTGCTGACTCGCGCGACGTTTGCTACAGGCCAGGAGCTGCCTGACTCGGCTGGCGACGTCCCCCGGTTCTCGGTATTTGACGTCTCTGCCGGCGTCGAACGCGGCGTGATGACGATGGCGTTTGCCTTTCCCGAGCGGGTCAAGCATAGGCATCTAGTGCAGAACTGGATAGACGGGTGTGAGACCGTGCTGCGGGATTTGGTGAGGACGACCAGCCGAGTACGTGACAAAGTCCTCACGCTATCCGACGTGCCCTTCTTTGACACGACCTACTCCGAACTCGACACCCTCCTCGCCAAAACCCTCCCTGCCCTCGGAATCACGGGAGAAGTCCAGGATCTCTACCCCTGTTCACCCATGCAAACCGCCCTGCTCATGTCCCAAGCCCTGGACCCAACGCTCTACGCAGTGCGCTACGTCTGGGAGGTCGTCTCCCACAACGGCACCGCTGTGTCCGCAGACAAACTGGCAACTGCTTGGCAGGTGGTGATTGATACCCACCCCATGCTGCGGACGGTGTTTGTCCAAGCCGCCGCCGCATCAACATACACCCAAGTCGTGCTGACCACCGTCCCGGCTTCGATAACCACCCACCACGACGCTACCACCTTCCCCGTCGGCCGACCGCACGAGCACCTCGGCGTGTCGTCCAAACCCCCGCATCATGTCGTCCTCCTCCCGCGGGGGAATGGGAGTGTGCTAGTGCAATTAGACATCAGCCACACCCTGATCGACGGGACGTCGGTTGCGTTGCTGCTGGATAGTTTCATCGCTGCGTATGCTGGGACGGTGGTGGTTGCGCCTCCACAAGACGTCTATGCTCAATACACGGGGTATTTGGCGAGGCAGAATCTGGATTCCTCTCGCCAGTTCTGGCGGGGTTTCCTCAGGGGGTGTGAGCCGTGTCAGTTTCCTTCGCTTGCTCCTGCGGATACTACTACCACTTCCGCCGGCACGACGGGCACTGCGAAAGAAAGTGCGCGGGTGCTGGGTCATTTGAATGCGAACTACCCCAATCCGGCGAAACTGCACTCCATCTGCGCGCAGACGGAGACGACCGCCGCATCGGTGTACAAACTCGCCTGGGCCTTGCTGCTCCGCGCCTACACCGGTGTTGAATCGCCCTGTTTCGGCTATCTCGCCTCCGGCCGTGATCTCCCGATTGCGGGGATTGAAAAGGCTGTGGGGCCGTTTATTGGCATGCTGGTCTGTTTCGTCACCCTCTCCTCCCAATCCCAAGGGGGGGATGAAGGGACGGTGGAAGGGGTGTTGAAAAAGGTGAACCAGGAATATGCAGACTGTCTAGAACATCAGGTGGTGTCGTTGGCGGAAGTGCAGAGGGGAGTGGCCGGGCTGGAGGGAGGGGAGAGGTTGTTTAATACGGTGGTGTCGGTGCAGAGGTTGAGTGGGATTGGCGGGGAGGGGGGGAAGAAGGGGGTTGAGTTTAGGGAACGGGAGGGGGAGGATCCTAGTGAGGTGAGTTTTTTTTTTTTTTTTTTTTTTTT